CACAGTGGACAGAGAGAGCCTTCCCCTAGAGCTGGCACCCTGAATTCGGACTTCTAGCCTTCTTGTCTTTGAAGAAGTACAACCAGAGTGCTCCTTGGAAGCAAGGATGGCAAAACTACGTCTTACATACTTTGGACATGTTATCAGGAGGGATCAGTCCCTGGAGAAGGACATCATGCTTGGTAAGGTACAAAGAGAGCAAAAAAGAGGAAGACCCTCAACGAGATGGATTGACACAGTGGCTGTAGCAATGGGCTCAAGCATAATAACGATTTGAGCAGGGCACAGGACCAGGCAGTGTTTTGTTCTGCGGTGCATAGGATCGCTATGAGTCGAAACCAACTTGACAGCACCTAACAACAACAACAAGCCTCCTAAACTGTGAGAAAATAAATTTCCGTTTGTTAAAACCACCCACTTGTAATATTTCTGTTACAGCAGCACTAGAAAACTAAGACAATGAGAAAAGAAGGATGGGGAAGGGAAAAGGTCTATCTGCAGGCGGCTTCCCTGGTCCTTTCATACAATCGTCTTTGTCTCTGGGCAGTGGGTCATGAGCTCAAAGGAAAGGACACCACTAAGCTGTGATGGAGGGAGAAAACGACCCTGGGTGGAAATGTGGCTCGTGGAAACACGTGTATGTGTGTGAATATGACTCAGCATGGCTGCACAAGCTTTCAAGGGAAACTACGTCCCACCCTCAATGCCGGAAACCCACAGCTGGTACCAACTCACAGCGTGATCATCTCAGAAAGCAGCCACCTCTGCTCCTGTGCTATTTGACCACAGCTGTTTCCTCGAGAAGCTTCTCAGTTTCAGAACGCAGCCACAAGACTTTCTGCTTCATACGCAGGGGAAAATTTTAGTGACTAAATGAACCTTGAAATTTTACCTGAAATTTTTATCATTTTTTTTGCCTTTGTAGATTCTTTCTATATGTGGAGTCCCTGGGTGGTGTGAATGGTTAACACACTCAGCTGCTAACCGAAAGGTTGCTGCTTTGAGTCCACCCAGAGGCACCCTGAAAGAAAGTCATGGTGATGTACTTCCGAAAGATCAGCCACTGAAAACCCTATGGGTCTACAGTTCTACTCTGACACACATGGGGTCACCAGGAATTGGCATTAACTCAACGGCAACTGGTTACTGGTAGTTCTACATATAAGCCACAAAAACACTAGCTCAAGAAAGGGGATGAATAAAGAACATCGCTTGTCTCTGGAGTCCCAACCCAAACTGAGTTTGTCCTCATAGGCTTTCAGGGCTCATTTTCACCAAGATTAGACGACATGCTCATGTACCATCAGAAAGACTGACACAGAGATGAGAGATGAGCTTGTAGCTCTGTGTCCTTCTGTGTCACTCAACCAGAGGTGGTTTGCCAGAGCTCATGAAGCTCAAGCTTCAGGGTCCCTCACTGGCACGGTCCCCTTCTACTACCTAGCTTTGTCACCATTTTCTTAAAGAAGTCCCACACACTGTATAAGCTTTAGGGCCCTCCCAGCTCTGTACTCAGTATGTGAAGGTGCACATATGGGGGCTGAAGTCTATAAATTTGGAGACGACCTGAGATCTGAGAAAGTCAAATCAGCAGTCACTTCACAGAGACCTCAGTCATCTAAAAGATCACTCCAACTCACTGTTCATTCTATTGATTCTTTCTCTTTGGGGTAGATACCTTGCCAACAAACAAAAAGTTGCTAGTCTATAATCACAGGACAATGCTGTGATAGAAACTCATGATTTTCATGGATTAAACTTCACCTGTTCTCATGGAGTGGTCCAAAGGAATGAGAATAATATTACATTGTTACAGGTACCACTCGTAATTTCTGTTATGCCTTTTGTCATAACAGTAGCTACTATTTATTCAGCACTTAACTCTGGGTCAGACAGTTTGACAAGTACTTTATATACATTATCTCAATTAATCCTCATTACAACTTCATGAAGTAAATATACCCATTTTACAGAGGAGGAAAGTGAGGCTTGGAGCAATTAAGTAAATTTTCTAAAGTCACACTCTAATCTGGGTCTGTTTAACTCCAAAGCCTTATGCTTCGTTTAGGAGGAGAAGCTGAGAAGTTAGATGCTCCCACTATCTTGGGTGAGTAAGCTTTTTCTACCCCAATTCTAATATCTTTCATAGATCTTTAATACCTAATGTGCATTTTCCTCCTAAAGTCTCTCTTCCTAACAGCTGATTCAGAGCAAAACAGTAATAAACCATATGTATCAGAATTTACAAACCAAAGAAGAAACCAAACAACACCTTAAAAAAAAATCGCATCATACAGCTTTTGGTTAGTTTTTTTCTTTTTTTAACGAACTGTGAAGTTACTTCCTCCATACTATTTAAACCATTGTTATTCTACATTTTAAATATATGCTCTTCAATAGAATTACAAGTCACCCTTTACCTAATTTATTATTATCTTCATTCCCTACTGTTCCTATGTCAATTCAAGAAAAGTTACAATAACTAAAATCTCTGCTCACCAACGCCCAGGAAACCCTGCTCAAGTGTCTGGACTCAGATACTCATCCTACCTTTTCGTCAACTTCAAGAGAAGAGCCCAGGAGTCTGGTCTGAAGAAAAGGAAGTCGGGTTTTCTTCTTGTTAGGGTAACTGACGTCTTTCTCTTTCCTTCCTGTTGGGCTCAGGCTGAAGCAGTGTGCCTTTCGTGTGCTCGCGGAGCCCCTGGAGACCATGGGTGCTGTGTGGCTATTCCCACATCGCCCACAGAGCTGCCGCTACTCACAGCCACACCAAGGAGCTCGGTGAATGCGACATTTTACATGTTTCGCTGGAGGAAAGCCCAAGCTGATGCTAGAGAACTACTCCACCAGTGCCAAGGAAACCCCAGTAGAGATTAGTTGCTGTTGTTGTTAGCTGCTTTCCAGTCGGCCCTTGACTCAAGGTGATCCCGTGTACAACAGAAGGAAGCACTGCCCTGTCTTGCATCATCCTCATGATTGGTTGTGCTCCATAGGGTTTTCATTGACTGATGTTTGGAAGTAGATGACCAGGCCTCTCTTCCTACTCCATCTTAGTCTAGAAGCTCTGTTGAAACCTGTTCAGCATCATAGCAACACACAAGCCTCTCCTGACAGACAGAAGGTGGCTGCACATAAGTTGCACTGGCTGCGAATTGAACCAGGGTTTCCCGTGGAAGGTGAGAATTCTACCACTGAACCACCAATGCCCCTTATAAAGACTAGAGACTTAGAATATTCATATGTTTGCAAATTTCTGAAGGATTTCACATTGACCTCAAGTACAAATGACTTCTCCAAGAACAGCTGTTAACACAAGAACCGATTTATAACAAGACTGACATGGACTTATTTGGGGAAAATTTCATTGAAGTATAGCATATATACAGAATTTTATACAAATCATAAGCACAGCTTAATGAATTTTTCCTAAGTGAATACATCCCTATCAAGAAACAAAACATTACCAGCATCCCTGGTAACTATTACCCTGGCCTCTAACTCCACTGATTAGTTTTTTTGGTTTCATGCTTTATTTAAGTGGAATTATACGATAATAACTCTTCTGTGTTCAGCACGGTAACGGTGAGATTCATCCATACTGCCGCACGTACTGGTGCTTCATTCATTGTCATGGCTGTATTGTATTTTATTGTACGAATACAAAAACACTGTATCTATCCATTCTACTGTTGGTGGAGATTTGTATTGTTTGTAATTTTTGGTTATTCTGAATAGTGTTGCTACGAACATTATCCTTTTCTCCTCCCCCTCCTCCTTCTTCTTCTTGAATTTTTCTTATTACTGGTTTAGCATGACTCCATGGTAGGTCTTAGTAACACTTTCCTAGGCACAGGAAGAGTCATACGTGCACAGGATTAGATCTATATTGCAAAGGGCTGCAGATCACAGACAATAGAACAACATGGCAAGGCCCAACTCTGGCCGTTGGTATTAATTATTGCTATGATTATAAGGATTTCATTTTACTTGAATCCACAATCAATGCCCGTGGAAGCAGCAGTCAAGAAATCAAAAGATGCATTGCATTGGGCAAATCTGCTGCAAAAGATCTCTTTAAAGTGTTAAAAAGCAAAAAGAGCACCTTGAGGACTAAGGTGTGCCTGAACCAAGCCGTGGTATTTTCAATCACCTCATGTTCATGCGAAAGCTAGTCAATGAATAAGGAAGACCAGAGAAGAATCAATGCCTTTGAATTATAGTGTTGGTGAAGAATACTGAATATACCACGGACTGCCAGAAGAACAAACAAATCTGTCTTGGAAGAAGTACAACCAGAATGCTCCTTAGAAGCAAAGATGGTGAGACTACATCTCACATACTTTGGATATGTTATCAGAAGGGATCAGCCCCTGGAGAAGGATATCATGCTTGGTAAGGTAGTGGGTCAGTGAAAAAGAGGAAGATCCTCAACCAGATGGACTGATACAGTGGCTGCAACAATGGGCTCAAGCATAATAACCATTGTGAGGATGGTGCAGGATCGTGCAGTGTTTCATTCTGTTGTACATAGGGTCACTATGGGTCAGAACTGACTCCTAACAACAACTTGATTATTAGGACTATACTTGCTAAATAGAGGCAGTAGCAACCCTGTCTTAGGCTGGGTTCTCTAGA